TATTCAACTTAAATATTTATTTAATTTTCTGCATTCTTTCTCACTTTAAAGTGTAGGTACAGTTTTTTTAATTAATCGCGCACAACTTAGTATAAAATAAAATATTGGGAGCGAATCGAGCGATTGCATTTATACACTATACGTATTACACTCGGCAAACAATGACCATTTGATTTGTAACATCTTCATGATTAATTGAAGCTCCGTCTTAACATGTGGTTCGGTGTTTTCGGCATAAAATAAATTTAAATTAAGAACTGTCTTACATGTATCGCCCGAGTTTACGGAATTAAAATTAAGAACTGTCTTACATGTATCGCCCGAGTTTACGGAATTAAATGTTTTATACAGCGACAAATATTTGTATTTTATTTATATATTTTCCCTAGTGCTCAAAGAAATTGTGGAAGAGAGACAACGATCAGATTATGTGTATAGAGCGTTTTACCCTGAATATTTTTGGATATATTTGTTTTATTACCATGTAATTTTGATTAATTACAAGTTCTTCATTTATATTTGAAAGTGAATGGTAAGTGGAACGAACGGATTATAATGATTGAAAAAAAAGCCGGCTTTTTTGCTCTACCAGCAAAGTGAAAAGGATAGAAGAGTATATAAAATAAAATAGCAAATATTTTCGCATGATACGACTGAATATTCAAACAACTGCTGTGGATAATTACTGCCCCGTTGGATCCGCCAAAGTTAATTGATCACAGGTGTTATCAGTAGCTGTGTGAGGCTGAGATTTTGAACTCGCGCATGCGCTTTATTGGGCGCACTTATCAGCTCGAAGATTCAAACAGCGCATTATCGAAGAAGGAGAAAGCACGTAAAATATAGTTAGTGAAAAAGAGAGACAGACGGTGATATTGCATTCTTACAGAGAAGATATCGAGGTACGTTTTTATTTCATAATTCAATATTTTTAAGTGGCGCTTATAAGACGATCGGATCATCCTTATAGATCGATATCTGATGATATGATTTCAAGTTTTACGTCTTACGAATTTAATTCACATCTTAAAGAACACTGATTTTGCTCATTCATAGCCTGTGCATGTGTATCCATACTCATTTTTGTAAGAATTCGTTTCAAACATGATGTTTTAGTTTTTATTTGAGTTCTTCACATAGTAATACTTCGATTTTGTTTAAATGTTGACAATAATAAAACCAGTTAATTAACTGATTGCATGCTTGCCACTTTCGAGACATAAGGAAACTCTACACACAATTAAAAAGTGCTTTTTGGTCTTTAATAAAGATATTTTTATATAAAAGTGTTCATATTCAAACTATTTAATACATTTTCAATACGGGCACGGGCTGCCTTAATTCTGCAGGAAAAAAAATGTTCAGAGACAAGCGACTTTGTGTGAACCGAAACACTTGTTTAGGCCTACTTATATTTGGAAAAATAATTGAATTAATAATGAATTCAGTTACTTATTATGCTAAGTATATTTTAGTCTATCAAAAAAGGTGTAATTAACTTACTGTAATTAAATAACCATTTTTTTAAATCTCACTTCTAAGGCAGATTAATCAAACAACATATAAATATTCTAAAATTAGAACTCTTTGGTGTGCAGTGTTTAGAGCTTCCTTAAATAGGCCTAGTTATTTGAAGGCTTTTCCCTTCATCACATCTTTGTTGACTATTTAAAAATCTCAAATTTCACATTCTGTTAAAAATAAGAAACACCGAAAAATGCAAAGTTCATCTTATTTGGAAATTTTTACTTAAACTTTGGAAAAGAAGAATAAATTCATTGTCATTGGGACAGGGTCCTACTTGTTTACGGGACTCTCTGGAGAGGTTAATTATTGTGCCAGGACTCCTAAGAACTTTGTTATTAAGCTAATCTGAAATTACTAATATAAATTAAGCACAGCTTCAATTTCATAATTCTTATTGTCAATGACAACTTAGGGAAATTGAAAAAGTTACCTTCTGAAAACTAGATGCCTTTTCAAAAATGAAAAAGCTAGACAAGCATAATTTAGCAAACACAGAGATGTGTAGTAGGCAGAAAAATTATATACAGTGTAGTTTGAAAATCCTTTTAAGATGTTAAATAAAAAAGTTAATAATCTTAATTTTAAATCGCAAAGTATTTCAAATTTGTAAAAAGGTAAGAGGGAGGGGTAGTTACTTTATATGGACTCTAAATGACAACAGGCTGATTTATCAACATTTTTTTTATAATTGTGATATTTTGTTTACTTCTTAAAAATTATATTTAAAAAAATAGTAAATTCTAGTTAAATTTTGAGTTGTCATGCAGGGTCCCTGGCAAAAAAAGTTTTAACAAAGAAATGTATGAAATACAGTGTAGTAAAATTTCCAACAATTTCATTCCACAATTCAAAATGTTTACATAGTATTTCTGGCTTAATCTGCTTAGATCTGTTTCATGCATTTCTCCAGCTGAGAACAGACATAAAGTGGAACTTTGATAATAGAATCCCCTGCTGTCAGGACAACCTGTTAGTCTTTTTGATGATAGACCCCCCCTTTGTTTATAGTATGCATGCTAAATGGAGATGCCAAAAATATGGCATTGAGTAATAACCAGTAAACAAGACAACAAAGACTCTCCAGTTAGTAAATATTTAACATCTTCAGGATCAAAAGATTAATACATTTATTGCTTTTATCTACTAATTATTACAAATCTGCCTCCCTTCCCATAGAGTAAATAATGAATATTTCTTGGTATTGTAAAATGATAATTAGATGTGAAAAGAATATTAGCTTGCATTTCAATTAGATAAAAATAACACAGTACCAGGAGTTTATCATGCAACCGTTACACTTTATTAAAATACACGGGTAATATGATGTTAAAATGTTATGAATGGATTGGAAATCTAGAAATTAAAAGAATGTTTTCTGGTGTTTTTTTTTTAAAGTTTTCGGGAGTTTTTTTTTTAAAAGCTCCCAGGAATTTTGTGTTTTGTTTAATGTAAAGGAAGCAATTATCTATTTGGTTAAATTGAACCATTAAAGAAAATCATAGCATTGATGTCGGATGAAAAATTTGGCCTCACTATAAGTATTTTAGGCTCTTTTTCTAAAGGATGGATCACAGGTACTTGTTTTATGTTTACAGCCCCCCCCCCCTTCTTGTAAACCCTGGGCCTTGTGGGTTTTTCTTCACAAATTATATTTATTATGCATAACAAAGAAAAAATTGAAAATAAACACAGAAAAGTTCAACTCTGATTTAATTGTTTACATTGTTGTTCTTTCTGGCTTAGATAATATGTACTGGATATTTATTTCCTTTAAACAAAATATCAGTTCACATTGTCAATGTCTCTACATAGATTTCGGTCTGAAATAGTTTGTATTATCTGACTGACTTTGTATTTCGTAATTCAATTCCACAATTAACATGATTAATACTCAAATATGATTAAAGTAAGTGTGTTGAAAATTCTCATAACCATGATAACTGACAGATAAATGCACAAAAAGACAGTGCATAAGAACGTATTACCTAATACCAAAATATGATAACAACAGAGAGATTTTAGACCTGATATAATAATCCCTCTCGGGTTTTATCCAAATAATAAGCCAGGAAGACCAGTGGGGTACAATGTAAACAAATCAGCATGCCAAACCTTTCTCTCTTAATGGAGGGTATTTCTGTGTGAAATGATTAATTTCGGGTTCTCTTTGATTTTTCCTGTGTTATGCACAATGAATAAGTGTAAGTATAATTTATGAAGAAATATACCACAAGTCCAGAGTTGATATTTTATCGGGGGGGGGGGGGGGTAAGTTACATATAACTAGCTTACAACTTTTCCCCATATCTGATTTACATTAATTATCAGTAAAATCACTTATTTTACACTTACATGAATTTTTTTTTTAATAAAACATATAGTTTTTAGTAAACTGTAGCTATTTTTTTTTCCAGTTGACATTTGTAACTAATTTTTAACTTTCTTGAAATAGTTTGAACATTTCCAAGAATTTCTTTTTACTTTTAAATCAGGTTGTCAGACTATTCAGTCGTTCATTTCCCATGCAGAAAATGATTTATTATGAAATGGCATGATTGAACTTTCAAGATATTAAAATGTATCTTCAATAGTGACAAGGATTTTGTATATCAGTTTGGTAATCTGGTAATCAGAACGTTTCACGAAATTAATGGTCAGGGTTTTAAATTATGATCATAGAAGCTTCTTAAGGCTTTTTACCCATTCTCCCAACCCCACCCCAAAGTTCAAAAAGGTACACCAGTCCCCTCAAAAAAAAATTATTCAGAACATTTTGTTGTATGTTATGTATAGACTACTTTTATAAGTTAGTATTGGTATAAAAGAAATTGGTTATAAGAGTGATTTTAATGTGTAATGAACATATTCTAAAACGCTAAGCCAATTTTTTTTTTTTTTTTTACAAAATATTAAAATTTGCTCAGCGCAGACAGGGGGAGGACTGGAGTAAAGTGTTTTCTGTCTTGGAAGTTGATGCAAATTGTATTTCATGGTTAATACAACTGACTTTTTCTAGCAATATAATGTAGCCCTATCCAATTTTTTCAATCAGATATTTTCTGGAGAGGCTACAATTCCACAGCATAGAATGATAAAATAATTAAATCTGCTTATTTACCAGCTCTCATCTTAAACCAAGGCAGTTCTTGCGTGATGGACTGAGACTTGCGCTTGAAAATTATAATGACTCAGTGAAGTAGATTTTCAGGGTTACTAATTGTTAAGGCTAAGTTTGTGATTTTTATTTAACTAAAAGAAATGGAAGTATTTTATCTGTAAGTGAATGCTCTTTTTATGAAATTAATATGTATGTAGTACATAAAATAAGGGCTTATACAAATAATCTGTATATATACTAAGGCCATCTTAAGTATGAAAACAATTGGGTTGGTAGGTAGGGGAAAAGATTTTTTCTATCTAAAAAAAAACACCCTGTGAATGTGAAGTAACAATAGTTTTTAATGAATAAAAAATAATTAAAACAATTTATACATGTAGTTTGTGCATTTTCGAATAAAAATAATAATGCATGGTGAATGCTAGTAGTTTAGGATCTTTGATTTTGTTGTAGGTTACAACAATGTCGTATTTAAGAAACTGGCGTCGTTATCGAGCAGAGGCAGAATTCATGGCAAAATCAAGTGAAGATGATGCAGCTACTGAGCTTGAAGCTGAAGTTTCTACAGTAACTAGACAAGAAAATGTTGAAGCTCAAGGAACACAAGGGAGAGGGTCTTCAACAGATGAAGGTGCTGAGCTAAATTCAAATGCAGATGATTTGTCTAGTTCTAACCATGATCCAACTTCCTCAGAAAGTGACAATGGTAATTTAGCCAGTTCCTCAGAAGAGAGTGATAACATTGCCCTTCATGATTCATCTCAGGAACTTGAAACTGATCTTGCAGCTTGGGCTACAAAAAACAAATGTACAAGATCTGCATTAAATGAGTTGCTTACCATATTAAGAAAACAAGGTCTCCAGCTTCCTAAAGATGCTAGGACCCTTTTAAAAACACCAAGAACAGTGGATGTCGGAGAAAAATGTGGCGGGAACTACTTCCACATGGGATTGGAAAGTGGTATTTTGAAATTGATTCATCAAAATGTGGATTTTTTTTGTAGATGTTGCACAAATTCAGCTTACTTTCAACATTGATGGTGTCCCTCTCTTTAAATCAACAAATGTACAACTTTGGCCAATTTTATGCAGCGTCCAGGGCTTTGAACCATTTGTTGTTTCAATTTTCTGTGGTAATCATAAACCTAGTTCTGTTGAAGAATACCTGAATGATTTTTTATTGGAACTACAAGAAATGCTCCAAAATGGTGTGCAGTTAAATGAAATCGTTAAACCAGTTGAAGTATTTGCCTTTGTTTGTGATGCACCTGCCAGAGCTTTTGTGAAATGCATTAAAGGGCACAATGCATACTACAGTTGTGAAAGATGCGTGGTTAAAGGATCGTGGAATGGACGTGTGGTGTTCAATGAGGAAATTACTGAGGCACCACGTACTGATGATGGCTTCCAGAATTTTGAGTATGATGATCACCAGGTAGGAAGATCCCCTCTTGCTGATATTGGACTGCCATGCATAAAGTTATTTCCATTGGACTACATGCATCTTATATGCTTAGGCATTATGAAAAGAATGCTGACATTCTTAAAACAAGGACCAAGGGAATGCAGACTTTCATACCAACAGCTGACTATTATTTCAGAAAATATGATGAATTTGAATGGCAAGATGCCGAGAGAATTTGCAAGACAACCAAGGTCTCTTGATTATCTGGACAGATGGAAAGCTACTGAGTTACGCCAATTCTTATTATATACTGGGTCAATAGTTTTAAAATCGGTTGTCTCTGCCAATGTTTATAAACATTTCCTTTCCTTAATGGTTGCAATGTCTATTCTCTTGAATTCTGATGAGAATATACGTAGAACATATATAGGATATGCAAGAGATCTCCTTTCCTTCTTTGTTACAAATGCCAAAGTTGTGTATGGGGAAACTTTTTGCACTTACAATGTCCATGCTCTTTGCCATCTTGCTGATGATGTGGAAAATTTTGGAACATCACTGAATGAAATTTCAGCATTTCCTTTTGAAAATTATTTGCAAAAGTTAAAGAAAAGTGTCAGAAAAGCACAAAATCCTATTGCGCAAATTTCAAAAAGGATTACAGAGATAGAAAAGGCGAAATGTAGAAGAATACCAAAAAAAAACACACCTGCATGTAGCCACCAGGAAGAAGGATAGTTGTTTTATGTTGAAAAACAACAGAATTGTCATCATAAGGGAGAAAAGAGATGACCAAAAGTATGTGTGTGATGTGATTAGCAGACGAAGCCTGACAAATTTCTTTACCGACCCATGCGATTCGAGCTTGATAGATGTGTATTTTGTGTCATCACGCAGAGTAGTCTATCACAGAATGCTGGTTGAGCATTCTGATTTGGAGAAGAAAGTTGTTTATCTCCCCTGTGAAGGAGGTCACGTCCTTATTCCAATGCTACATGGAATAGAGAGAAGTTGTAAGTACAAGTACATGATCATGATGTATGCTGACTAATACACTGATTTGAAAATGTAATCATTATACTAGGTAACTAACACAGTAAAACATTATTCATTCAACTGCATGTAAGCCCAACCTTTGTAAGGTGGAAATTAAGTACTTTAATGTAGTATTGGTACTAATGGAAACTAACTGAATGTGCATGTAAATCATAACCCTCTCCAATCATTACTTATAGTATGAACTTTAGAAAAAGTTAATACAAAATTATTTGGCATCTAATTTCGTACGAATTGTGCTTGCAGAATGGAAAAGATTTGGTGCAGAGCAGTCTGGAAAGAAGATGGCCAGGAAGAGGAGGGGGTTATCCCGACTACGCAGGGGGAATAAGGAAGCATACAAAATATTCAACCGTGGCTAAATCAGTGCTGCATTATGACGTCATAGTAGGCAAGATGACGTCAATTTTAGAAATTAGGTTTTCGTAATATTGGTATTTAGCGATGTAATTTTACTCTAGAAAATGATTAGAAACGTGTAAACATTAACAAAAATAAAATGTTTTTATTTTGTTATGCTGTAACAGTCATTATGATTGAAATCTACCACCGATGACGTCATATGTGTACATCAAGTAACTTGGAAATTGATCATGTCGTGTAAAGAGAATTTGGCTAAGACGGCATGTTTAGAGATACGTAAAATTGAGTTTAAAAGGAAATATAGGAAATATTGTGTTAAATTCATATGGAGTTCAATTAATTAAACAAATATGCTAATTTTATTTCATCGATTATATTCTCTTTCGAAGACAGTCAGCTATATTACGTATCTCGGTCGTCCTATCGCTCGTCATTCTTGACCAAAAAATGCAACAGAACAACAATAAGCTGGATATTTCAAAACATACGATTTGTACAGATTGAAAGTTTGTGTTTTGACAAACTTGGAAAGTGCTGCTAGAATCCCGAGTTAAGCATGGTTGTACGAAAAATCTCGATTCATATGTATAAAATTCACAAAAAGGGGTAAGGTTTCGTGCGAATGTGTGGAATAAATATTTTACGGACATACTGGGATTCTAGCAGCTATATTTACTCAAAGAATTATCAAACTCCGGGTATTGTTGTTCTGTAAGCCTTTTTATTAAGGAAAATTTTGCTATTAATAGAAGTCACGTGATGCCGTGGCGATGATGTACATCCTTGTGTTAGACACGCTTTTATCTGTGTGCAATAGTAAATAACAGATTACGTTTATCAGTGGTTTTGGTTATTTATTAAACTAAATTTTCTTCAAAAAGTCTAAATTTCCCAAGAAATTAAATATATGCTTCCTTAACATACCCGCGTATATGGGTGAAAGGCACTAGCGTAATGTGGCCTAAAGGAATTAATGTCCTGAAGGCCATGAAAGAAATGAGGGAACCTGATGACAGTTGGATAAAGTTTGACCTTGTCAAACTAAAGTTCTCATCAGGTATAAATCTTAGTTTCATTAGTTTGTAATGTCTATCTTTTCACCAACAAATAGTACAAATATTGCCAGTCCAGAAGGCACCTGCACTTAACCATTTGATTTGAATATGCTATGAGACCTTAATCATGTTAATGGTATTTTGTATGCAATTTACATTTTCATACATCTACTGTTCTCTTGCAGCAAAGAAAAGGGAATGTGAGGAGTATAATCTAACGACAACTGCAGAGTTTTCTTCTAGTGAGGAAGATGAACCAGCTAGGCGTCAAAGGAAAAAGAAGAAATATGATGACTTTGTGACAGGTTGGTACTGTAAGCAGTAAATGTTCAAACTAAACTTTTTTTTTGCATTTTACTTTACGCCAAATAATGTCACACAAAAACACAGTGTTGACCTTTAAAAGAAGAATCTCATTTTGTCTTAAAATGAAACTTTAAGAGTTTTCAGCAATTTAGTTGACATGTAAAATAAACTATTTTGTAATGAATCAGACTCTATTTATGAGCACTTTTTCATGTAGGATCAGGCATCGAACAGACAAGCAGAAGTACACATGAAGGTAAATTTTACAAATTTTAACTTTTCTTTATATTTGAAATGTAAACAAAATTTCTGTCAAAACTTTATCTTCTCTCTTCTATTTTCATTTGTAGAAAGTCAAACTCAGAAGAAAACCCATAACTCAGGTAAATTGAATTTATATACTGTATGATTTTTGAACAGATTAGTGTAGATTTCATTTAGTGCATTTATTCATTTTGTATACATAAGTATATGTGCAAGAAATTTAGCATTGTACTTGAATTAGCGGACATTAGATGTAATACACTTACAGTAATCTTTTTATATAATCTTAAATTTTCTTTAAAATGCTTTTGAAAAAATAGGCAGAACATTATTGATATACATAAGTCTGATTTCTTTCCATACAACATTGTTAACTTTAACATAATTATAATTTGATGTATAGTTTATATGATATTGATAGGTTCACGAGGACTTGGTCTTTCAAGACCACCACAACAACCACCCAAGAAAAGATTTACTTCTGAGTTGTCAGCAGATGTTGATAGTGGTAATACATTTTTTTCTTCAAAACTTTCTATCATTCATAAATATGCCTTTCTTAAAATGTCTAACAGATTATAAATGTTACAGTTTACTTTTAAATTTACAATATTTCAAGAAGACTTCAAAAATATATTTAGAAATACATGTTCATTTCCTTGAAATGATATGAATCAAAATATCTATTTCTTTAAGGTAAATCATCTAAAGATTCTAGAGCCTCTTCTGCTGAACCAATGAGGCAGAAGAAAACCACTGTGACCAGTCTTCCAACATTACGGCGATCTCCAAGGAAGCAAGTGGAGCCAAGGAGGGTACAGCAGCCAAGCGAACCACACGAGTCTTTGTCACAGGCTGCTCGAAGGACAGCACCAAGCCATCAAGAGAGCTCTCCCGAGAACTCGGATATGGAGGCAGAAACACACCTACCTCAATTACAGAGGCAGAAGAAAACCACTGTGACCAGTCTTTCAACATTACGGAGATCTCCAAGGAAGCAAGTGGAGACAAGGAAGGTACAGCAGCCAAGCGAACCACACGGATCTTTGTCACAGGCTGCTCGAAGGACAGCACCAAGCCATCAAGAGAGCTCTCCTGAGAACTCGGATATGGAGGCAGAGACACACCTACCTCAATTACAGAGTCCACCAACATCCAGTAAAAGAACTGGTGGATACCCCATGTCAACTGAGAGTATGCATTAATAAAATCATTTTTTGTTTCGTAGAAGTTGCAATTTATGTATAAGAATATTCTGTCTAAATAGATAGGTATAAATTAAGACGCAACAATTTTTATTGTATAAATACATGCTTATGTTTATTTTACGCACTAACTTTGTATTCAATTAATAAATAAAATTTAATTTAGGATTCCAGAGAAGAGTTATTCAACTGTTGGTGGAGATTCGCGACAATGTGCGACAAGGGCATGTGGGTGGAAGATCGGTAGAGGACCTGGGCACGTTTGTCGTCAGAGAGTATGATACTCTTGAGGATTTCCTCCTCTTTGATGACTCTCTGATGGAGACGGAACTACAGAGTAAAATGGTTGGTTTTTTAATGACTCGATATATTAGTAGAAAAAATTTAAGAATATTCTATTTCAAATTCTGATTTGTAGTACATGTATCATTTGAGGAAATTGTCATATGCATAAAAAGAATTAAATATATCAGACCAAATTTTATTTATTTTTAATGATGTCATAAAGCAATGTTCAGTATATGTTTTGGTTTTTTAGAAAGCTCTAATGAGGAAAGTTGGAGGGGCGACTGTTGGAGACCATGTGAAAAACGCCATGAAAAAGTTCGTATATAAATTTAAAAGATAGAAAATAAGATAACTGTAAGAGATATACAAAAAATGTTAATTTATATATCTTATTTTCATTGCTTATTTGCAAACCTGTGATATTTTGCATCTTATTTGTCGGTTTGATTTTTTGAAGATGCCTGACAAATGGTTTAATGGCGAAAATGAATATGCAAGGAAAAAAGGGAAAATTTGCATTTGTGTCAACAACTCTGTGCAAATTGATCAAAGGTATTAAAATCTATTATACTCTCATGGTTAATACTAATTAAAACAGATTTAATTAAATCTACAATACGTTCAGTGAATTTTGATAATCAAAGTTCTGACAGTGGAAATTGACATCCAGGATTTATTGGTTGACATTGGTTTTCCTTGGGGGTGACACTTTCAACTGTTTTTCTAAGCAACATATCATACCAGGATTGAACAGCAGTCAACAGTTATTTGTTCATTGCATCTTATGCATAAACATAATTGTTCTATTATTTCTTTAGAGAGCATCCTTCAGAGCCACCAAGATGCCACGGAGGCAAAGGTTTACGAGGAGATGAGTCGGTTTTTAAAGTATGCCCCAGGACGGATAGGAGGAGGAGGAAGACCAAAATAGTAATGGTAAATAAAACATTACTGAATTTAATTTGAAGAAGTGATGGGACATGTTCAGAAATAATATCTGATTTAAGTATCACATTTTTATTTTTGCTTAGGAAATGTGTGACCAGAATTTTAATATTTTAATTTGTACTAGATTTGCAATGCAAATTGTGACTCTATCATTGTAAATTTACAGAATGATCTTTCCTCAGGAAAGTGAATTGTGTTAATCAATTTATCCCTTCTTGCCAATAATTGCTTTAAGAGTTAAATTTGCACATTTTCAATACACGTACTTTTCATTTTATTATTTTTTTTACAGTTGCCAAACCAGAAAGAAATTAAAAGGATTTGATGGGGGAGAGACTCTTCCATGAACTTTAATATGGACTGTATAAATATAATATTTCCATAAATATTTAAATTTTGTATATTTGTAGTATTTTTAAAATTATGTTCCATTAATCAATCTTCAAGGTCCATGTACATATAAGTTTATTTTACCTATGTCTTACACGAAAAATTCATTATTTTGATACTGAATAAATTTAATTTCTATTAATGTCAATTTTTTGTAATGTTATGAATTGTCGGATACAATGATTTGGTTAAAAGTCACAATATGCAGGGCCTATTTGATTTACTTCACCAGATATTTTTTCATTGTTCAGAAGTGTTGCGAATATATAATGAATTATTTTTTTGTAATTTTCAATGAAAAAAAGTATCCATTGTCTCAACTTAATATCAACGTTTTTTCCACCAAAAATCAACCAAGGTTCAACCAAATATCAATGTTTTTTCAACCAAATATCAACGTTTTTTCCACCAAAAATCAACCAAGGTTTAACCAAATATCAATGTTTTTTCAACCAAATATCAACGTCTTTTCAACCAAAAATCAACGTCTTTTCAACTAATTACCAACGTTTATTCAACGTTGATATTTGACGTTGAAACAACGTTGGATTTCAACGTTGCCTCAACTTTCATTTGCAACCAAAATTCAACGTTGATTAAACGTTGAAGGGCAACGTTGAATCAACGTTGATATTTGACGTTGAAACAACGTTGATATTTGACGTTGAAACAACGTTGACATTTGACGTTGAAACAACGTTGAAGTTCAACGTCGCCTCAACTTTCATATGCAACCAAAATTCAACGTTGATTCAACGTTGAAGGGTGACGTTGAATCAACGTTGATTCAACGTTGAAATGAGGCCTGGTCTCTGACTAGTAGAGCTAAACATCTGGGGGAAAACAACATGAATAGTTTAGTTTGAGCAATATTTTATTATATATTCGACAGAAAGCAGTGTTTTTATATGAAAGACCTCTCCATAGATAACTCTTTACAGTTTTTATCAGGTGAGCACTTTGGCCCATGAACCCCTTGTTAATTAACCAAAAGAATTTCTATTTTATAAGGCCTATGGGGATCCGGGTTAGAATAGGTCCTCTGTACCCCCTTGCTTGTCGTAAAAGGCGACCAAATGGGGCGGTCCTTCGGATGAGACCGTATAAACCAAGGCCCACTGTCACAGCAGGTGTAGCACGATAAAGATCCCTCCCTGCTCAAAGGCCGTATGTGCCGAGCAGCCCTCCACCGGCAATGGAGACGGCTCCATATCAGTGAAATATTCTGGAGCGGGACGTTAAACAGTACGCAATCAATCAATCTATTTTATAACTTGATAGGCTTGTCCTTGTGCAGCGAGTTCTACTTGACAACAAATTTTGGTTATGGGGGGATTGCCCAATGAATCGTTACATCATAACGATTATTCAATTTTCATTACATTTAATTTTATAAGTAATTTTTACAGACGGACAGACAGACAGACGGACGGACGCCGGACGCATTACTATCGCATAAGCTCTTCTAGTCTCTGACCAGTAGAGCTAAACATCTGGGGGAAAACAGAATAGTTTAGTTTGAGCAATATTTTACTATATATTCGCCAAAAAGCAGTGCATATATATGAAAGTCTTCTCCAGAGATAACTCTTTACAGTTTTTATCAGGTGAGCACTTTGGCCCATGAACCCCTTGTTAATTAACCAAAAGAATTTCTGTGGGGATCCGGGTTAGAATAGGTCCTCAGTACCCCTTGCTTGTCGTAAAGGCGACCAAATGGGGCGGTCCTTCGGATGAGATCGTATAAACCAAGGCCCCGTGTCACAGCAGGTGTAGCACGATAAAGATCCCTCCTTGCTCGAAGGCCGTATGTGCCGAGCATAGACCCCAACTTTGCAGCCCTCCACCGGCAATGGTGACGGCACCATATCAGTGAAATATTCTGGAGCGGGACGTTAAACAGTACGCAATCAATCAATCTATTTTATAACTTGATAGGATTGCCTCTTGTGCAGCGAGTTCTACTTGACAACAAATTTTGGTTATGGGGGGATTGCCCGATGAATCGTTACATCATATCGATTATTCAATTTTCATTACATTTAATTTCATAAGTTCATTGGCATTTGCATAAACAATGTAAACTATATATTATTTATATTACTAAAATAATGATTTTATGCCTCATATAGAGACTAACATTTCTCTTTCCACGATTTAATTGTTTTTCCTTTGTTTGGATTTCCCTCCAAGTTGCTCTGGATTTTATCTTTTCATTTCGAGGTTTGAATTCTAGTTTAATTGTACACACTTATAAATTAGACTGATTGATCAAAACCTTTAGTATAAGAAGTACCTTAAAAGTATATTTTCTTTAAAATTGTTACCATTTATTTTTCCTTCGCAGATTATTTAATTTTTATTTGAGGAAAACAATGTCTGTAAAGACAAACCATATGATAAGGTGTCGTATGCTTTGTATTTAAATGAGTCGAACAATTATCGTTGAATATAAAAGGCGTATTTTACAAGTCCTTTGAGGAGACTTCAGCAATGTTTTATCAGAAAAAGATATCCTTGAAGCCAACAATGTCAAGATTATGTAGGCGTATGAGGGATCTACATGTATCTTGTAAATACGAGCATAAACTAGGAAGCCTGAAATTGTGATCCAGGTACCTTTTGTAATAAACAAGTAGATAGTATATAAAAGCCTATGGCCATCTCTCTACAATACATTTTTCCATTAAAAAAGCTCACTTAAATATATTCTGTATATACTATATCGTTCTTCTGATGCTTTGAAATATTTGTTGATTGATTGATTGTATACTGTTTAAGGTCCCTCTAGAATATTTCAGTGATGTGGAGACGTCACCATTGCCGGTGAAGGGCTGCAAATTTAGGCCTATGCTCGGCACTTACGGCCTTAGAGCAGGGAGGGATCTTTATCGTGCCACACCTGCTGTGACACGGGGCCTCGGTTTATACAGTCTCAGCCAAAGGACCGCCCCATTCAGTCGCTTTTTACAAGCAAGGGGGTACTGAGGACCTCTTCTAACCCGGATCCTCTTCGGGCGATATATTTGTTGAAATTTGTTGAAAAAGGATGAAACATTTTATTGTAAACGCTATTCTAAAACCTAACTTAATTATAAAATTATAAACTTTATCGAAATTTCAGTACATGAAGGCACAAATTGCAACCGGAAAAAATATGAACACATGTCTATTTTTTGGAACCCACTGACAATATGTACCAAGAGGCAAATGAAATCCGTATAGGTTTATATAATGTGTACAGAGCAGGAAATTTGTGAGGTAATGCCCACTTGTAATACTCCTGCTTTGATGTGAATATACAATATGTTTATAAACGTTAAGGATATATGCATGGAAAAAGTATACTTGCTGAGAAAAGATGCAACGAAAATTTGTAAACTTACGAAACGGACAGATGCACTGACAAACAGGAAGTGACATCCGATTTGAACCCAACATATAGCATTTCTTACAAAAGAGTGTGCTTAAATGTCAAGCATCTGCGAGGAGTAGTTGCCGAGAAATAGTGACACGAATTTGTATATATGGAACTTGTTATATAGTGAAATTAAATGAAATAGACTGGCCAACAGGAAATTGACATCAGATTTGAACAAAAATGCATCCATTATATGGCATATCTAAAAAAAAAAGAGATTGTCTTAAAATTTCAAGCATCTGCGATATGTAGTTGCTGAGAAAAAATTGTTATGTGTAAACATGTATGAAACAATCAGATGCTCTGACAAACAAGAAGTGACTTTGGATTTAAATAATAATAATTTAATTTCACTTGAATCAAGCAGTTTCATTGGCTGAATCATTCAGAGGAACATATAATATTTTGGATAACATAACTTCCCTACGTCACAATGAGTTACGTCAAAACCGTATTATTCCGCTTGACGTTACTTTAAATATAATGCTCAATTTAAAGTCTTTTTTCGGTGGAAATATTGTCTCATTGTCTACATTGGAATTTAATAATAAGGAATGAAGCTTTCAACTTATGTTATCCGATATAAAAAAAAACTTGGGGCAGTTTACGCTTTTTAAGGTATCCGATGGGTAACGAGCTCGTACTTTTCCGCTAATTTCCGTAACACTTCGGAACCGGGGGATTCCCCTGAAGTTATCGGTCTTGCCGAGTAAGAGTTATCGTTCATAAGCGAACCAAAATGGCCGACCAGAGAGATAGTCGAGGCCGGTTCGCGAAGAAAGGGCCTAAAAGAGTTAGATATAAGAAGACATATGTTGCCTCCGAGCATAATTACGTGAGTGGACACCAGTGTCCAGGTAAAACTTGTAAAGATAGACTTTGTCCTCTCTTTAATAATATACAAGATCTCGGTAAAAATGTGACCCGTGACTGGAAGGAAGGACGGCGCATTATGGAGCTAGGTGTTTTGTTGGAGTCCCTATCTACATGTTCCTCCTGTCGTATGGGACCTATACCGCTTTATACCGAAAATGTAATAGGAGAGAGACGACGGGGCCTTGGTGGTTATCTATATGTCGTATGTATGAATCCCGATTGTGGAGAAGTTAACATGGTGCCCTATGGAAAGACGCATAGAAAAGAAAAAGCAACAGGGATGCCAAGTTTTGTCGTAAATACTAAATTAGGCACAGGTTTGTAAATTTCAAAAAGTTTCGAAAATTGAGAAATACCACAGATTTACACACTGACAGGTCTAGTTCAAGCACTAGACAGGTCCAGTACAATCACTAGATTTAGCTACGTAGATAGAATTACCTACGTAGCTTTATTTACCTACCTCAGGTAGCTTTATTTAGCTATTTCAAGGTAAATTTTCAAAAGTTTTCATTTAATTAAAAAGAGACAAAAAGTCGCAATTAAATGACTATTGATATTTATAATAGGAAGGTTTTAAAAAAACAATTCAAAGCTTAGATAATTTATACATTGCTGCGTTAAACATGTAATTCCATTGTTTGGTTATCTTACCATGCGGTGAGGCATGACTGAGTATGATTACTTCACATTTTGCTGAATAATTACCAATCTATTATCCTGTTATCCAGAACTGGACTTCTTTGTCATTTCATTCAAGGAGTAACTGTTCTAACTGTCATACATAGCCCCAAAACTTTCATTCCAATTGCGCAGAAAAAGACATTTTTCCAAGAGGGATTTTTTCATGAGTTGTTTTCAGATGAGTTCAAAGTTGAAAATGATCACTGCATCAAAATGATATTGCCTGCACACCCTGAGAAAAATGATTTTTAATATAAATAGATCAATTTGGTAGCTAAATAAAGCTACCTCAGGTAGGTAAATAGAGCTATGTAGGTAAATCAAGCTACGTAGCTAAATCTAGTGATTGTACCAGACCTGACTGAGTAACATTCATGTTTTAAATAAACCTTCTCTGTTTAACGTTTAATACCATTTTTTAAAGTTCAAATCATTTGTGCAAACTCATTGTACAGAATTACATTGTTTCTAGCGATGATTGACAGTCTTGGAGGACCAGACCGCGTGAACAACCTGCTCTCTACTTTGAACATCCCAACAATCAACAACAAAACTTTAATGTCTATGCAGAGGCGTGCCGGAGAAAATGTAGAGAGTGTATCCCTGTTGACCACAAAAAAAGCAGCTAATGATACTTATCACATGGAAATGGTGTAAGTTTAATATGCAATATTATTATGCATGAAAATGTACGTATCATATATGTTATACATGATACAGAGTCATTATCTGATTTGATAATTTGAATTGATGGTTTGTTTACAACTAGGTAATTTTCTGTTGCTATAAATATAAGCTTTTTTTCTTAGTGAAGTAGCTAATGCAGAATCCAGTCAAGCCTCTCAAAGTATGGAAGTATTAATAGATGATCTGGGAGTTGGCGTATTACCAGACGCATCAGCAAAAACTAAGTAATAAGACTAAACAATTTCATTGAATTCAAATGCCTATAGACAGTGAAATTTTATTTACATTTATGTCACTTAATTTTGTAATGTATTGATACTTTTTCAGAGAAATGCTGCGAAAGACAGATGGCCATGATATCGATGATGCTTTAAAATTTGATGATTCTGATAATGAATTACCTGATACTGACCATAGAAAGTATGCATCCTTTTTTATTTTACCAATATCAATAAGTTTATGAGGTTTTTAAAATTAAATTAATCAATAATTTGGTTGAATAAGACCATATTTTTTTTACGTAACTGCTAATTTGACTGATACTAGTACTATTAATATGCAAATTTTTAAAGTTTCATGATCGTATTCCCCCCATGTTTTTAGTATCAACTAATTCATTTCAGTGTTAACCAAAACATTGTCTCCTCCACTGCAAATACACAGAATAGAATACCCACCACTCCCGAGGTTAGCCAGTCAGAGTAAGTATTATTTTTTTGTTCTGGTATATATATATATATATAGGATCTCCTATGATTTGTAGTTGGATATGATTTTTATCAACGAGTTGTGTGATTTTTTTCCCGAGCCTTGGCGAGGGGAATAAAAACACGAGTTGGATAAAAATCATATCTGACTACAAATCACGGGAGATTCTTTTTATCCCATGTTTAATGCTTCACAACCGATGTTATACACCATTTTATATTGCACTCCACTTTATTTTACTTCATCATGCTAACGCAAAAACCATTGTTACGTGACTGATGTCATAACTATGGAATATGAAAAAATTATCCAATTGGTCATATCCACAGGATAAAGGGGTAAACATGGAATAAATTAATTTACGTTATGCATGCCCTGACATAAATCATAAATTGCCATTAATCACATTTACTGCTTATGGGGACAATAGCAAGTTTATAGTCTCTCCCTATATAGTCTCTTCTATAGAAGAGTTCTGAAATAAAATGCAAGGGAAACAGAATGCTACCGCCGGTGAAAAGTTTGATGACTATTTCAATATGGCCAAATAGCTCAAAAACTATTTCACAGGAGGGCTGTTTAGAAAAAAAATAGGTTTATTTGTCATATTTTTATGTAGAGAAAAATCAAAAAGCTATAAAAAATATATAAGATAATTATGAGCAACATGATAAGGCTCACTAATATTGTGAAATAAATTTTCAGGGATGACACAGGTACTGTTTGTACACCAGTTACTGCTAATTGTCTTCCACCCGCACAATCACGGAGAAGGAAAAGACCATCAAAGTCCAAAGGCACTCTCAAGAAATCAGTGAATCAAAAGCTAGTCAAGAGGTTTCCATGCAAGACGAGGAGGGGCATGACTTGTGCTGTAGATACCGCTTGGCATAAACGCGGATTTGATAGCCTCACAGGTAAAATGAGCTAAATTTTACAGAAAAGAAACAATTTTGTTATATGGAAGTTTTTGAAAAAGATGAAACTTGTGATTTAAAAATTTGCATATCTTTTTATTATTTTAGCACATACATTTTTTATGAGCAAGTCACAATATGGGAAAAAAGTACTTAAAACAGTGGTTGGGCATAGGACGTGTGGAACTTGCCGTTGGTGGAGAAGGAATCGACCTGGCCTCCCTGTTAGAAAGCATCGTTGTGTTCAAAACCATCATGGTAGTGCGAGAAGCATGAAGAGTTCGACTGGCATCCGAGGCATGAAAGAGCTGATTGATGAAGGAACACCAGTGGAGTACATTGAAGGGGACGGGGACAATACTTTAATTGCTAGTTTACGATCAGAGCTAAACTTGAACATCAAGAAAAGATTCGACAAGAACCATGTTGTGAAGAATATTGGGAAGACTTTGTTTGAACTAAAGAGTAAAAAACTTAGTAAAACTGTAATCATGCACATACAAAAGTGTGTGAAATATGCCTTTGCAAAAAATCAAGGTAACAAAGAAGGACTGGAAGAGAATCTTAGAGGCCTCATTCCACATCAGTTCGGGGACCACCAGCACTGCAGGGCAAGATTTTGTGGATTTTTGCGGAAACCAGGAAGTGTTTATCAACATAGAAGTCTGCCCTACAAAACAGCACTGAAAGATACTGATTTACGACATCAGCTAGAAGCGGTTTTTGAACCACTCATAGCCAATGCTGAACAATACATAGATTTGGATTCAAGCCAACAGTGCGAGCATGCAAACCGTGAAGTGACACTTAGAGCTCCAAAGTCCCTCCATTATGGAAATTCTGAGTCCATAGACTTTAAAGTACATGCAACTGCAGCATTCATCAATGAAGGACATGGATATATCTCAATGGTATGCTGTTACATGTAGAAGGGCATTGAAATAGTTTATTTTGATATAACCCTTTGGATTCTTGAATTTAAAACTTTTTTTGAGTTCTGAGTTGAAGCCAGTAAAATATTTCCATATTCTTGAAACACTGAATAAAATAAATCATCAATTGATAGCTTTTTATCTTTATAGATACTCATTAAATGTTTATTGTGCAGATATTTTACCTTGGCTTTGCTTCATGTATTTTGGTGTTATTTTTGTTCATTTTCTTTAGCCAAACATTGAATTTTTTTATTTATGTTTCTGTTTTTTCCAGTTTATACTAATGCTTGGAAACAGTTTCAAGACTCAGTAAGTTTCTAGTTACTCCTTGTTAGTAATGTGTACTTGAAATTAGAAAATTTACTTCAATTTAATAAAGTGTTAAATATGGATTATCGAAAATATTGTTTGAGCAAACGAGTAAAACTTGTTTTTATTTTAGGCAAATGAAAAAGGTGGTATTTCCCCTGGAAAGTTTACTCAAGACCATGCCAGGAAAAGGATGAAAAGGCGCAAAGAGGTTCAAGACAAAATTCAGCTCCCTTCAACTAAGCTTAGACGTCTTATTTTGAAACAGGAAAGAGCTGTGACACAGGGAGCTCAGGAAACACTGGAGGGAGATTCCTATCAGTCTGGTAAGTAAGGATGATGAATTCACTTTACACAATGACAAATATTTAATGTCATCAAGATTTTATATTTACATATATGCTAACCTTGACATGTATTGGTCACAGCGAACATCCTGACATCAAAAAACTACCAGATCCAGTCATACCAGGAAGTTTCAAACCAGTAACCCTACCGTCAACTGAGGAACCTACAATGGTTATGTTTGATCTTGAAACAACAGACCTAAGTGAGTTTTCCTTCGTGTTGTTTTTCACATATTTCTTATTGACTTGTAAAATGTTTGAATTATACAGCTTATTTTTCAAATTTTATAATTACAGTCCGAGGGAGACAGATGCCCCACATAGTGCAGATTGCATCCACTGAACTTAAAAGTGGCTCTGCATTCTGCACTTATGTTCGACCCAAGTTGGCACAGACACATGCTGCACAGACAGTAACTGGTATAGTTGCCAGTTCTAGTGGTATATCAGTTGCTGGTAAAGAGATAGAGTCAGATAATATTCATTCTGCTGCAGAAAAATTCATCAATTATTTGAAGAAATTCAAAAATGTGTGTTTGTTTGCTCACAATGGAAGGCGTTTCGATTTTCCTGTTCTGATGTCAACATTTAAAAACATAGGGAAAGATGCTGAACTAGCCAGTGTTGTGACTTGTTGTGTAGATAGCCTTTCAATGTTCAAAAAGTGCTTTAAAGATCAAGATTCATACAAGCAGGAAAATCTTTTCCGTTCTCTTTTGAATGATACATACAGTGCCCACAATGCAGTGGATGATGTAAAAGCTCTGGGAAAACTTGTACAACATGCACTGCTGTCCAATGTAGATGTTCTAACCTTTAGCTTTTCTTTAAATGCAGTTCTACAGCAATATATCTACAATGGTGAGAAAGCCAAAAACTACAGTTCACTGACGGAACTTGTGGAAAATTCTGTGATCACAAAGTCCATGGCAGGGAAAATAGCGGGTTCTGGTCTGGCTTTGCATCATCTCAAGGCAATCAAGAATCGTGATGGTGAAGATGGTCTGAGAAATACTTTTCTTGACAAACGAGAAGGGCAAGCAAGAATTAATTGCACTAGGAAAACCTTAGATGATGTTGTGTCTAAGCTAATGAATGCTTTGTAAACCATGAACTTAGAACTACGACGCTTCACTCCAGCATATTTCATGAAGCGCGTCAGCGCTTCATGATAAATATGCCGGCGTGAAGCGTTGTACATGTAATTTCATATACCTCGTGAATCTTCAAACAATTAAATTCATTTCTTATATTTACATTATTTTTCTGATAATTTGCCAAAAATTACGCTGTTCAACTGTCATTTTTAAAACAAAACAGTGTGCACTATATTTTTTTTACGTTTTGGCATCAAGAAAGGTTTTGTGACGTAACAATGGAGATATTCATGCTTATTCGTGATACATACCTTATGTAGTTCATGAGAAAATATACTGCATTTTATCTTGTAAAGAATCATAGGGGAAATGTTTTGGAAATGTAAATCTTTTAAAATTCACTGTTGAATATATGTACTGCTTTTACAAATTCCTAGGCATAAGTAGTATTGGTAATTTTGAAGATTTTTTGTTTGCATATTTTTAAATTATCCATAGGCATTTATTTTGGTGTAAATTAATAACCTGAATTTTGAAGATGACATCTATAGTTCAATGATGAAAAATGATGACATTTAAACTTTGATTTTTTCATAATTATATTTCTGCAAAATGTTATATAAAATATAATTTTATGAACATTTTATTGTCTTGATTTTTGTGCATCAATATAAAATCATAAGTCTGGACACGTTTTTTAAACACTAAGTACTATTTTATTACTTATATATAGACGTGTCTCCTTTAAAATTGGTGAACAAGACGTCTGTGAGCCAATGCTCACTTTCTTTAATGATTATATACACTCCCATAAAAAGTTACTATTTACAAGAATTTGACATAATATTTTTATTCTTTGCCATCTGACATGAGTAGTTGCTCAAAAAACGGGGAAAAAAGTCAATACGGACAGACACACGGATAAACAGGAAGTTGAAAGCAGATTTATTCAGAAATGAATCTTGCCATCTGGAATGCTAAAACAAAGAATGTTCTAAAATTTCATGCATTTGCTATGAGTAGTTGCTGAGAAAACTGTACTGACCATTTGTTACATACAGGCAGACTGACAAACAACAGTAAAAAGAATTATTATATTAAACTTTTTTCCATTATCCTGAAGTATTTATTCATAATATAACCACTTTTATAATTATAAATGTAAATATTGGATTTTTGTGTTGATTATGCATGTCTTAGTGCATCATAGGAACTCTTCACAGAGTATACATTTTTGGGGTAGGGGTCGTTATAGGTCATATAGAAAAAATATGAGACGGTAAAAAAAAAAATTTAAGTTTATATGTTGCCTATATATGTCTTAAAATTTAAACCCTTCTGAATATGGATGCACCCCAATAGTTTTTTTTTATTTTTGCCTCTTTCTGCATTAGTCTGCATATTGACAAGGCATTCTCGGAAGCTGTGTATGGGGCTTGAGTGTTTAAAAAAGTCAAAAGACCTCTATCATTTCATTTTATCTTTATATCATTTTCTTTCTACTATATTTTTCTTGAGAATATTCTGTTAACAGACATTTATCATCTATTTGAAATATTTTATTACCCTAGGTTTTAATAGAGCCTTTAGTGCTGAAACACCGAAAAAGGTACCTGTAAACTTTTTCAGATATCTAGTAAACTATGAGGTAGATGTTCATGAAATTTTCAAAAATAGTGTACTATTATATGCTTATTATAAAAATGAAAAGTAAAATTCTGCATTAAATTTTGCTCGTTACCCATTGGATACCTTAAATTTCTTCGGTATCAGGAAAACATCCCTGCCATATCCCCAAGAAGGCGCCATGCCATAGAACACGTTGCTACGGAAATGTATGGATCCAATGAGGAAAAGAGAAAAAAACATGGAAAGTTACTTTATTAACCATATATATGCGTAAAAGAAGTCATTTCTGGGATCAAGACCGGACTCCAAAAAATGCCTTGAAGATCATTTAAATTAAGAGAACAGTTGGGACGTGGAACATTTTAATCTAGTGGATGGTTGTGATGTGTTAATTTTAATATATAAACTTATTAACTGTGCACCCGTTGTTGAATATTAAGATTTTTTTTTATTTATCCACACTAATGGACAATATATACTTGAATATATAGAGATTTGTAATCAATTATAACCAATAAACATTTTTTTTTCATGTAAATTTTAAGAGAAAATAATATATTTATTGAGATTGATGGCCAATATGTAATGTTAAATATTATATTTAATGCTGATTGACAATGTGTACTTGCTTCTTGTAAAAGAAAAAAAATAGGGAATGAGAGCAAGTGGAAAGTTTTATATTGAGTAGAATAGATAGTTTTCGATCACGTGACCTCCACCGTCCCAAATAAGGACGGCGGCCATGTTGGAGGTATAATCGAAGGTCATCAGTAAGTTCAGTCGAGTAGAAAATTATGTAAATATGGTGAACTTTTGTGCTATCATTGGCTGCTCGAACACCGCGGGGAGGGACAAAGTTTCATTCTATAGATTACCGGGAATATTAAACAATCGGGGGGAGAAAACATACGAATTATCGGAAAACGAAGGAGAATGTAGCTATCCCGAATAAGTAGGGCAGATTTTGCACCGTCTTCATATCCATCCCTATTTAAGAATCTACTTGGATCATTTCGTTACAGGTATGTAAATTGGTGTTGAAATCAAGCATTGCAAGATAAATGAATATAGATAGTAGGCCCTATGTCCTCATGTAATACACTAACAAGCTACATGTATGTTGTTTTCCGGAAAACGGAAAATTTGAAATTTAGTAATGAAATTATATGTTTGCAAACAATTTTATGTCATTTGATTTAAATTGTTGAGCCAACAGATTAATATATGAATTGTATATAAAAAATGTGTTTATTTTGTGTACTATTACAGAAAAGAAGGAAGGGATAAGAGATATGTTTATTACTCCAAATTTTGTTTCTTTACAGGAAAGCCTTCTTCTCTCTATCAAGACTGTGATCCAGACTGGGCACCTTCCAAAAACCTAGGTCATCAGAAAACCAGCCAGTGCTGCCTATACCAGACCGAACCATCAGAATAAAGGGCAGAGTAGAGAAGAAGAAATATTTTGAAGCAGCAAGGTCCTCGATTTCCTTATTCGAGAGCCGAGGAACTGATGATGACGAAAACTCTCCTGAAGAACCTGAACAATCTTCAGAGTTATGTACAACTATTAAAAGTGGCTTGTCATCACAGTCCGAACTAAAGAGTACTACCCTGACAAGGGAGACCTTCAGAGAAGATGATGAAAAAGTAAAGTCATTCACAGACTTACCTTCCTTTGCCGTACTCAGGACTCTTCATGCGTATGTGGAATCGGTTCTAGTACAGGGATATAACAGTGCATTTTCCAAGTTTCAGAAACTTATTCTGGTGCTGACGCGTTCAAAACTTAATTTACCAATTCATTATTTAGCAGACAAATTTAGAGTTTCATCTAGTACTGTGTCTAAGACATTTCTTATCATTCTGCATGCTATATACATAAAAACTAAAACCACTTATTTACCGGCCAGCTCAAGAGGAGAGAAGACAGTGCCAATGGAATTCAGAAAGTATTTTGGTTTAAAAGTAGCTGTGATCATTGATTGTTTTGAACTTTTTATCGAGAGACCCTCAAACCTGTAGGCAAGAGCCCAAACTTGGTCACAGTATACGCATCACAATACTGTGAAGTTCCTGATTGGCATTTCTCCACAAGGTGTTATATCATTTATTAGTAATGGCTATGGTGGGCGTAGTCCAGACAAATTCATAACAAATGACTGGTTTTCTAGAGAAGTTAGTATACGCAAACATTGTACTCGCAGATAGAGGGTTCGACATTGCCGAAAGCCTGGCACAATTTAGCTG